AGCCAGCTGGCTAGATACGTAGTACCCAAGAGCTATCCATTAGAAATAACTACATAGAAAATAAAATGGAACTCATCAAACAAAGCCACACATGGCCTTTTTGGGGAAAGCGATACACCTCTGCCAAGGACTGGCCAGAGATTCCCCAGGAGAGGACTCCTTGCAGCTGTTTGCTGCTGTGACCAAGGAGAGAGGCACCTGATACAGGATGAAGACGTCATGGTATTTTGGTCATGGCACTGAGAGGCCCTTGACCAATTGGGTACTCAAGTTTTTCTGAGAATTAAGACATGATTTAATGATTAAGAAAAAAAAAAATCCAAAACAGGTTAGGCTCAGTGGATAGAGCGTTGGCCTGCAGACCGAAAGGTTCTAGGTTTGATTCCGGTCAAGGGCATGTACCTTGGTTTTGGGCACATCCCCAGTAGGGGGTGTAGAGGAGACAACTGATCAATGTTTCTCTCTCATTGATGTTTCTAACTCTCTATCCCTCTATCTTCCTCTCTGTAAAAAAAATCAATAATATATATTTAAATATATACATATATATAAATAGGTAAATATATTTAAATACACACACAACACACACACACACACACACACACACACACACACATATATATATATATATATATATATATATATATATATATATTTTTTTTTTTTTTTTTTTTTTTTTTAAAAGAGGTACAGGAAGCAGTGATAATATAGTCCCTGGAGGACAGGATCCAAACTGGAAGATGATGGAATAAAACTGGTGGCAGGGAGGTATCTGTGATGAGCATGAATCTCAGAACAGCACAGGACTTTGAGGAAGGCAGGGCAGCTGGTCTGGAAGCTCACTGCACTGTGGGCAGGGCTGATGACCACATGGGACCTGGGATCATGGGACAAGAGTGACCAGGCTTATCCATGAGGTATGCTGATGCCATCCCTGCTTAAGAGCTTATACTTTTATGACGTTGATGTTTGCATTACTTGTTCCCATTCACCTCACCTTCCCGGCCTGTCCCATAACCCTGCATATTGGCTTATCTGTAATTACAACAGAATTTGGAAAGCTAAGTATTTTTATATTAAAAATATGTGTGTGTACGCCCTGGCCAGGCAGCTCAGTTGGCTGGAGTGTCAAACTGATACACCAAGGTTGTAGGTTTGATCCCTGATCAGGGCACGTATAAAAATCAACCAGTGAATGTATAAATAAATGGACCAAGCCAATGTTTCTCTCTCTCTGAAATATATATATATATACATATATATGTGTGTGTGTGTGTATTCATATACCTATGTAGGTATATAAACAAACAGAATGGGAAAGTGACGAGAAGGGAAGCAGATTTAGGGTGAAAGCAGTATTTTTTAACACTCCTGACATTTCAGGCCAGATGAATGACTATTGTAGGAGCTGTCCCATGCACTGTAGAGTGTTAGACGCATCCTTGGCCTCTGCCTACCAGATGCCAGGAGCACCTCCTCCCTGTCATGACAACAAAACACGCCTCCAGTTATTGCCAAGCGACCCCTGGGGGTAAAACTGTCCCCTGTTGGGAACCACTAGGTTAAGGGTGTGTGTGGAAAAGGAATGAGAACAGGAGGTAATTCAGATAAACCCTGACACTCTTCTCAGTGGGTGGCCCCAGTGGCATTCAATGCGGCTTCGCTAAACGTGAGCATAAGCTCAGTGATTTACAATCGCTACTTTCCACATCCCATGTCGCCCCGAGCTGGCCACTAACAGACATGGAGGACAAGTTCCTTTTTGACGGCTGGAAGTGCTGTGTGGGAGAGAAGGGGTGTCGCCCGGCTTCCTCTGAGACTTGACTTTTATCCTCTCAGTCCCACACTTTCCACTTAAAAATATGGTCCCTAAAATGAACATATATCTTCTCTATGGAAGCTGTGTTTCCGCTCAAATGTGTTTGAGGACTTAAAAATATGTAATCAACACTGTCTTTATTCAAGAAGAGAATCCAATATAGTATCATTTACTAATATCAAGACTAAATTCAGTAATTTTGCTCCTTGGACATTTATCTCAGGATGGATTATGAATATCACTCAACACACAAATTAAACTTGTTTTCAAAATATTTACAAAAATAATACAACGCAATAACGAAAAAATAACTCTGGTTAAAAAAAAATAATCAAAACCAGGAAAAGGACTTAAAATAGATATTTCTCCAAAAAAGATACACGACTGTCCAATAAGCAGAGAAAAAGATGCTCAAGTCACCATGATTAGGGAAATGCAACCCAAAGCTATCACCTCACACCCATTTGGATGGTTATTATAAAAACAAGCAGAAAATAGTGAATATTGGCGAGGATGTGGAAAAACTGAAACCCTTGTGCGGTGCTGATGGGAGTGGAACACGGTACAGCTATTATGGAAAACAGTATGGCAATTCCTAGAAATATTAAAAATAGAACTGCCATATTATTCAGCCATTCCACTTCTGGATATATTCCCAGAAGAACTGAGAGCAAGGCCATGGGCATGTATTTGAACACCCGGTTTGCAGCGGCATTATTCACAGTAGCTAAGAAGTGGCAGCAACCTAAATGTTGATAGATGACGAGCAGATAAACAAAATATGGTATATACATGTGATGGAATATTATTTGGCTTTTAAAAAGGAAATTCTGATACATGCTACAACTTGAGTGAACCTTGGGGACATTGTGCTAAATGAAATAAGCCAGTCACAAGAAGACAAATACTGTATGACTTCATTTATAAAGAGATATCAACAATAGTCAAATTCCTAGAGAGAAAGTAGATTGATGGTTGCCGGGGTTGCAGGGAGGGAGGAATAGAGAGTTGTTGTTTTTTAAAAATATATATATTTTTTATTGATTTCATAGAGGAAGAGATAGAAACATCAATGTTGAGAGATAATATAATCATTGATTGGCTGCCTCCTGCACGCCCTCTACTGGGGATTGAGCCCCAATTTGGCATGTGCTCTGACCATGAAGGGAAATCCAACCATGACCTCCCCGTTGGGCTTGTTTTATTTTCTTTTGTTAATCCTCACCTGAGGCTATTTTTTTCTATTGATTTCTTTCTAATTTTATTGTTTAAGGTATTACAAATAGTATTATAATACATGACTCCTTTCCCCCTCCCCCCCACCTGCCCTTGTGCCCCCACCCCTAGTGTCTTGAGTCTGTTGGTTGTGCTTATATGCATGCATACAAGTCCTTCGGGTGATCTCTTATCTCCTCCCCCCAACTCCTCCCTACCTTATTAATGTTTGACAGTCTGTTCGGTGCTTCTTTGCCTCTGTTTTTGTTCAACAGTTTGTAACATTCTTTATTATCCATAAATGAGTGAGATCATCTGGTATTTATCTTTCACTGATTGGCTTATTTCACTTAGCATTATGCTCTTCAGATCCATCCATGCTGTTGCAAATGATAAGAGCTCCTTTTTTATAGCAGCATAGTATTCCATTGTAGTAGATGTACCACAGTTTTTTAATCCATTCATCTGTTGATGGGCACTTAGGCTGTTTCCAAATCTTGTAAATTGTGCTGCTAATAACATAGGGGTGCATATATCATTTCTGATTGGTGTTTCTGTTTTCTTGGGATATATTCCTAGAAGTGTTATTACTAGGTCAAATGGCAGTTTCGTTTTTTGGGGTGTTTTTTTTTTTTTGAGGAAACACCACACTGTTTTCCACAGTGGCTGCACCAGTCTGCACCAACTTACACCATACACAAAAATAAACTCAAAATGGATAAAGGACTTAAACATAAGATGGGAAACCATAAAAATCTTAGAAGAAGCTATAGGCAACAAAATAGATATTTGTTGTAGCAGTATCTTTACCAATACAGCTTCTAGGGCAATGGAAACTAAAGAAAAAATAAACAAATGGGACTACATCAAAATAAAAAGCTTCTGTGCAGCAAGAGAAACCATCAACAAAACAAAAAAGCCCACTGCATGGGAGAACATACTTGCCAATATTATCTCCGATAAGGGTCTAATCTCCAACATTTATAGGGAATTCATACAACTTAACAAAAAGAAGATAAACAATCTAATCAAAAAATGGGCAAAGGACCTAAATAGACACTTTTCGAAAGAGGACATTCAGAAAGTCAAGAGACATATGAAAACATGCTCAAAGTCACTAATCATCTGAGAGATCAAATCAAAACAACGAGGTACCATCTCACACCCGTCAGAATGGCTATCATCAACAAATGAACAAATGACAAGTGCTGGAGAGGATCTGGAGAAAAAGGAATCCCATTGATTTTTAGAGAGAATGGAATGGAGGGGATAAGAGGGAGAAAGAAGAGAAACATCGATGTGAGAAAGACACATCCACTGGATGCCTTCCACATGTGCCCTGACTGGGACTGGGAATTGAATCTGCAACTCAGGTATGTATTCTTGACCGAGAATTGAACCCATGACCCTCCAGTACCCTCTGACATTCTAACCACTGACTCATGCCTGCCAGGGCAGGGAGTTATTGTTTAATAGCCACATAGTTTCTATTACAAGATGAAAAAAGTTCTGGAGATGGAACAATGTGAGTGCACCTAATGCCACTGACTGTACAACTAAAAATGATGAAGACGTAAACTTATGTTACATGTATTTTACCATAATTAACATTTTTAAAAATACAAGAAATGACAGGAAAGGATTAACTGAGTTTAGGCAATATTTATTCAATTTCCTTGAGATCATAGTATCTAAGGCATAAATGGTGATTATTTGGCAAGGATACAACTCCTTTGAAGGCCTTGTCTGGCTGGATTTTAGTTCATGATACATCGTATTGGTGTAAATCTGAGAGAACTTATTCTGGCACGGGCTCTAATCATGGGAAATGCGTCTCTCCTCACCATCCCTTCGTGAAACTCAGTCACTTTCCGTGGAGGGCGTGGCAGTTCTGCAGCTGCTCCCTCGTCACCCGGGGCGCTGGGCCTGGCCCAGGAAGGAAGGGCGGCATGGCGGTGCCGGGCTCTCAGGCCATGCTCTCGATGATGACTGCGATGCCCTGGCCACCTCCGATGCATGCCGACCCAACACCGTATTTCTTCCCTCGGCGCCTGAGGAAGAGAGCAGGGGCTGAACTCTACTCAGATGAAGAATTAACAAAGCTAATAAGATAATTAAACAGAATTACTGATGGTTACATATGTATTATTCACTCGCATTCAGATCATAGTCTCAATATTTTCCTCACTCCTTAATATTAGTTTATAGTCACAACAGGAGAAAGAATTACAAAAACTGAATGTTGTTTTTTTCTAAATAGTGGTGGCAAGCTGGGGATGCGGGTCTCTTATCCATAGCATGGGGTTTGTTAACATTGTCAAGAATAAGGCCTATTGCTAGAGATCACAAGTGAAATTTAGAAGTCTATGAGAGGATGAAACTGGTTACTATGCCTGGGAACGCTGGTAATCCAGGACAAAAATAAGTCCAACACACCCAAAACAGGATGACATGGGAAACCATGAAAATTTTAGAAGAAGCCATACAGAGTTATCCTTTGTCAGATTGCACATGTCTGCATAGGAGATATGACAGCCTGGGCAGCGTATGTTCACAAACTCCCAAAGTACAGTGTGCAGGCTGGCCTGACAAATTAGGTGGCAGCGTGTTATGCTGACCTGCTGCTGGCCCACAGGCTCAATCAATAACTTTCTCATGGACAAAACCATGAAGTCCAGGCGGAGTGACTGGAGGTGAATACGGTGTGGAAAGCACTGATGGTCAACCTGGTGCCTTCACCTGCTAACATCTGGATGCAGGGCTTGCTAGAACTACTCCTGGAAATAGGGAGCTGCGGATGCAGGCCTGAGTACCTCTCACAGTGCCAAGAGCAGAGCCGCTAACAAGTCAATGGACTCATCTCTAAGGTCAGCTGAAAAGGGGTCCCACATAACTTGTTTCTGGCGAGAAGCAGTGCAAGGGGGATCTGAGGAAGAATGAAAATGTTGGGGTGTTCTGGGGAAACCTAAATCCATGCCTGTCTACAAGAGGCAAATCTGAAATGCACCGATTTCTCACGGATACCTTAATTCGTGAACCAGGTGTGCAGTAATTCTTGATCCAGATGCTCCCAATGGGTGACCCAAAGCAATGGCTCCTCCATTTATATTGGTTTTACTTGGGTCAAGACCTAAATTCCTCTCAACAGCCAAGTACTGGGAAGCAAAAGCTTCATTCACCTTCAAAATAATGGAAGAGAAGGGGAAAGACAGAGAGAAACATCAATGTGAGAGAGCGACCTTGATTGGTTGCCTCCAGCACAGGCCCCAACCAGGGCTGGAGATCGAGCCTGCAGCTAAGATACATTCCCTTGAGAATCGAACCCGGGACCCTGCTCTATCCACTGAGCCAAACCGGCTATGGCCACAAACTGCTTTTTAACTGAGAATTGTTTAGTACTCTTGATAGGTAATTTTTCTTTTTCTATTTAAATTATCTTGCAAGATTGTTTTATTTTTAGTTGTTCTTTGTAAAAATATCAGGTTTGAAAATGGTACTTTCAGTCAGTCAAATGCATCTCTTGGGAAAAGAAAGTCCTCAGTAATATTATAAGTGAAACCAGAGGTGATGGGACACTGTAGAGCCCATAGGTTCTGGAGCTAGACAGACTGTTTAAATCTTGGCTGCACGCATGTTCTTTGAACTCCCTTGACACTCAAATTTCCTCAGTAGTAAAATGTGACTTTAGTATCATACTAAGGTTATTGTCAAGGTTAAGTTAAATCATAGGTATTAAATGTCTAGTGTATTACCTGACACATGGCAAACACTATAAAATACTTGCCATTATTATTGTTATTACCCATACTTCCAAGAAGAGACGGATAGATAATTAAGAATAAACCTTCAGAGCCAAATACGTAAGAGGAATGGTTACTACGTCAAAATGTGGTAGAACAGAAAAGTGTCATACTGTATCACACTTTATGAGGCTGGCTATGAGAATGACTTTACTTCAAGTTTTTAAGCACTATATTTTCATATGATCTTAGCTAGGGAATTTTACAGATAAGAAAAGTGACTTTAAGAAAGGTAATGTGTGGGGATAAGGGGGAGAGATCAACCAAGGGACTTGTATGCATGCATATAAGTATAACCAATGGACACAGACACCAGGGGGGTGAGAGCATGAGCCGGGGCGGGGGTGGGGGGGTGTGGAGCAGAGGGGGCAAAGTGATAAGGGTGCATATGTGATACCTTAATCAATAAAGAAAGAAAAAAAAAAGTCATGTGTCCAGAGTCGGGATCAAGATTGTGCTCCTTCCTACTATATTTTATTCTCTCTCAAGATGGTGCTCTATTTGTTCTTAGATTCAACATTACTTTTCCATTTTATATAGTCCTGCTCAAGGAGGCACTAGGAGTCCTAGAATATGTTGTGAAACTAGGCTATTGAACCTAAGAAAAACCCACCACATAATCATCAAACGTTCCAAAGACAATCATAGCAGGGTGTTAAGAGCTATGTCCTTGAGTACTTATACATTTACTAGAGGCTCAGTGCACAAATTCATGCATAGGTGGGGTTCCTCAGCCTGGCTGGTGATCAGGCTTATCAGGGCCTGTCTCACCCAGTCCTGATCAGGCTGATCAGGGGCCAGGAGTTTGGCTGGCTGCAGGAGGTTGGCTGTGGGATCACACTGACCACCAGGGGGCAGCTCCTGCATTGAGCACCTGCCCCCTGCTAGTTAGTGCATGTCATGGCGACTAGTCAACCGGTTGTTGGTTGATCAATAGTAAAGGTTGCTTACGTTTTATATATAGATATAAATGACAATGAATAGCTTTGCAGAGCTGATATATTTCAATAGAATTTTGGGTATGAAATCTAAAGTCAGAAATTTACTGGTACCTATCTGCTGGTACAAATATGGTAAGTAAGCAGCCTGCAGGAGGCTCTGAACTGTTGATTATTGCCTTTTGGGTGAGAGATTACCACAGAGGAAATCACACAGAGGGAATAGGCCCATTCACTACAAATTTAAATAGAGAGACCTTCTTTGTTCTATTAATTATTTACCAACATCAAACAGAGAGACATACTTAATTATCTAAAATTTTCAAATATACCCCAAACGTAGAATGTACATAATCCATATTTAAGTATTTTCTTCTTTTAATTGTGCTAAATACTCAAGATGCCTTTGTTCTAAATTAATGATTTAACATTAAAAAGATCAATAAATGAATAAGTTTACAGAAGTTTTAAAGTTTTTCTAAAAACTTTGATAGGCACATCCCAAAGCAAGCCACAACTAAAAGCCATGATAAATTTGGGGGAGTGGAGGCTGTCTTAACTTGGGGGGAAGACAAGAAACTTCTAGATTTGGCACCAGATATTGTTTTACTTTTAGGTGAATTCTCTATTTGTATTTTTTCACTTTAATCCATAAAATGGGGTTAAAGTTACTTATTTCTCCTTCACTTTACATAAAGATCACTTCGATTCAGCAAGCACATAACAGTCTAAAATGTAATGAAGTCATAGGTCCTAATATTTTCCCAGGAATTTAATTATTCAAATATAAATGAAACATTTTAATCAGCTAAGGAAAAGTACCAACATAAGCCATGTAATGAAAGTAACACTTATTTAGATGTACATCATTTGGAAAGGCTAACAGTACTAAAACAGACAGAGCTATAAAATACCAAACTGAAGCCATTTATGCTCTAGAAGTTGGTGGGTTAGTCATGTTGAAAAAAGTAGAATACTTACCTCTACCATATCCATGTCCTTAAGACTCAGCCCTGTTCTCTTCAGTGCCCCAGTGATAGCAGAGACAGGACCTATATTAGCACAAAATCAATTTCATCTTTTATTTATTTATGCATCAAATTATTCCATCTTTACTAAACAGGTAAATAACGTGACAGCTGGTAGTAGCCATAAATCTTGCTACCTTGAAAGCACTTTATTAAATGAGGTAACAATAAAGAAACAAAAAGTGAGACCTGTATTCATTGCAGTGTTATTTACAATAGCCAAGATCTGGAAGCAGCCCTGGCCAGCATTGTTCAGTGGTTAGAGCTTTGGCCTGTGCACCAAAGGGTCAAGGGTTCAATTCCCAGTCAAGAGCATGGTCTTGGTTTTCCTACTGAGACTAATACCGTTTTTCATAAAGATTGGTTGTTTAAAAGACTGATTACCAATCTCTTTTCTATAAATGACTTTGATTTGGCTACTGTTTCTGGAATGAGAATGACAAAGAAGACTTAGCTCCAGAAATAGAGCAAACTTACCAATACCCATGATGGAAGGGTCACAGCCAGACACAAAGTAGCCCACAATTCGTGCCAGTGGTGTGAAGTTATGTTTTTTAACAGCATCCTCACTAGCTATGATAACAGCTCCAGCACCATCAGACACCCCCTGGGAAACAAAAACAGAAGATTAACCAGAGGGTACAGAATCCAGTTAATCAACGTTAAGCTATGAGGATTATGGCATGACACAGGAAGCAGTGCCATCATTTGTACTAGTGGTGGATTAAAGCTATTGTTTTAGGCACAGAATACAAATGGAAAGAATGCCAAGGAAAAGCCTATAGTCAGATGCAGGTAGATATAAGGAGAAATCTGATGAATTGTGTATGGAAAAAAAATATATGAAAACTAAAAATAAATCAGGTAGATTTCCTTCTAACATTCTGAAAAGACTATGAAATGGAAACTATATCAGGGCACTTATGGAAAATATTTTGAACTACAAAATCCCAAATTAATAGAATAGGAATTTAATTAGTTTAAGCTATATAACTAAAGACTAGCATGAAAAGTATCTGAAAGATACTGCATGATCACTTTGCATCAGAAATTGGGAAGGTTTCAAGAACATCTGTGATGAGACTTACCGATGCGTTCCCTGCAGTAACAGTTCCATCCTTCTTGAACACGGGCGGGAGTTTATTTAACTGCTCCAGGGTTGTTTGGGGCCGGGCATGCTCATCGACCTGCATGGTCTGTTTCCCTTTCCTGGTCTTCACCTCAATTGGCGCCATCTCAGTATTAAAGTAGCCAGCATCATTCGCTGGAAGAGTTGAAGGAATATAAGAATGGGGGAAGAGGCCGAAACCGGTTTGGCTCAATGGATAGAGCGTCGGCTTGGGGACTGAAGGGACCCGGGTTCGATTCCGGTCAAGGGCATGTGCCTTGGTTGCAGGCATATCCCCAGTAGGGGGTGTGCAAGAGGCACCTGATCCATGACACTCTCTCATCGATGTTTCTAGCTCTATATCTCTCTCCCTTCCTCTCTGTACAAAAATCAATAAAATATTTTTAAAAAAAAGAATGGGGGAAGAGGAAAGAAACTAAGTCAAACATATCCTTCAGTTTGATTTCTGGTCTCCCCTTTCCTCACAGCCTCCTTTCATGTGAGCCTTTATTATTTATATAACTTTTCTTGCCTATTGGAGGATTTAATATACTATCATGTTTCTATGCAGATGCATTCTGCATCTTTTAAAATTTTAATTTTGATTTATTTTTTTAACTACTTTTTTTCTTTGTAAGGTGCTGCTAAGTCTTAGCAGTATTTGTTAGCTACACATATAATGAGACCACATGGACTGAATGCCCTGTAAAATATTCTCTGGGTGAGATAAGAAGTAATTAAAAAGTTACCACATTGTACAATAATGTATTAAACGTTTAAAAGGGCAGATTTCATGTTAAGTGTTCTTAGCACAATGAGAAAATAAGTTACCAAGTTGCCTATGTCACCGAGTAATCTATGCCTGAAATTTAATGACAAGCATCCTGAAGAAGTTTTAAGTAAAACTGACTAGAATGGACTATAGCAATCCAAAGCCTTAGGAATCTTACTTCTGATAACATTTTACAACAGGCTAAGCATTTCCCTTCGTTGGTTTTCATACCAACTCTATCAGGGAAATAAGCAAAGCAACTATTTTTTATCGCCATCATTAGAAATATGTACTTATTTCTATTTTACAGATGCTCAGTGAGTAAATGACTTGACTGAGGTCAGATAACATGTATTTGGCCAAACTAGAAACAGAACAACCCTTGACCTCTAGACCAATAATCTTCCATTTTACATGTGTAACGAGGATGACTCGAGGACCTCAGCCCCATCCTATTTTCCCTCTAAAATGCCAAGATGGACTTTATCCTCCCTATTCCAAGTAAATATTTAATGCCCTAAATAAGAGTTTCCATTTGCTTATAAGAGTTTAATTTTAAAAATCTCAGAAGACTAACAGATTTCTTCAGCTCCCCACACTGAGAGAAGACGGCCTGTCGCTGTGTGAACTGGTGGGAGAGCGGTGTGCAGTGTTACCTGGGGCACCAGAGCCAGGGCCTTGGACTCGGTCTAAGTCTCCCAGGCAGGTGCGATGATTCTCAATTAGCATAAAAGGATACCCAATGGGCCTTTCCCAAACACATCATCCCCTCCTTGTGACTATGACATGGCTGATGGCGGAGGGCGACCTCTGTCCCAGGAGCCCAGTGAACCATTAACTCTAACAGTGTATCATAGCTCTCTGAGCGGTCTACTGGCAACAGTACCAGTATGGGCAGGGCCAATGAACAGTACCACTTTTTAAGTAGTATGAATGTATTTCCAAGGAGTTAATTTTACAATCATTAACCAAGTATCTAAATCATCTGAAAACAAAGGAATGATAAAAATGTAACTTTCAAAAGATATAATTTTAAACTAATATTATTAAGTGAACATTATCTGAAATGATAAAAATCCTTCTTAGTTTTTAAAAATTGAGGTATAATTGACATAAAACATTATACTAGTTTCAAGTATATAACATAATAATTCGATATTTGTATATATAGCAAAATGATCGTCACCATAAGTCTAGTTAATATCTGTCCCCAGGAAGAAGTTACAAATTCTTGTGATGAGAACTTTTAAGATCTCTCTTAACTATCAAATATGCAACATAGTATTATTAAGTACAGTCACCATGCAGTACATTATATACCCAGAACTTAGTTATTTTATAACTGAAAGTTTGTATTTTTTGACTCCCTTTTCATCCATCTCACTAACCCTCCTCCCTCTCCTTCCCCTCTCCTCCCCCCCAGTTTCCTTTCTGTAAATATTTAGAATACCCTTTTCACTGACCGGCTTTCCACCTCTGCTGGGACTGCAGGGCGTATTTGTCACAGTCTTCTCTGCTTATATTATGTTGTGAAGCAAGATTCTCTGCGGTGATTCCCATGGGGAGTTTAACATGCTGATCAGTTAATCCTGCCCACAAAGTGTCTTCCAGCTATTAAAATACATTAATAATGAAGTGATTTGTTAAAGCATGTCTTTCACAGTAATATGCTGTAATTTCTTTAAATTTAAGCAATTAAAAGTTCCAATAAATAAAAGTAAAATTAGATTTTCTGATAGCATTACTGTTACTAAATTATTCATATTTGATTCCGAGGATTTTAAAAAATATTCAATGGCATAATAAAATGACATATTCTCCTCTCTACACGTGGGGCTCTGAAGAGAACCAGCAATGCTACATGAGCAGGGTGAGAACACAGGAAGTTATTCCACAATCAAAACCCCTCAAGGTTACATTCCGTAGGAAACCTAACACTGAGTCCTTATGCACGCCCCCAACTGGGGATCGAGCCCATGACCTGGGCATGTGTTCTGATCAGGAATCAAACCGTGACCTCCTGGTTCACAGGTTGACTTTGAACCACTGACCCACACTGCCCAGGCTCTGAACTATCTTTCCAAAGGTGTTCTCAAATACATTTGGTGCCTAAAACTATCTCATCTTTTCTATGTCTTATTTTCAACTTTCAAAGAGGCCAGGTGAGAAATTGATGAACAGTGTACATCAACTGTTATAACTGAAAAAAATGCTAAAAATGTAAAATGTCATTAGCCCTTTCATATAGGAAGGATAGCATATTATCCATCCTTTATCACTCCTATCATTCTCGTGTTGTGCCTTCTCATTCCAAGAGAATGTTTTCTGTGAACATTTGATGGAGATTGCTCCAGAAAAAAAACTCCCATGAATCATGGCAAAGATTTAATTACTTGGTTTGCTAATGATTCAGCAGACATTAATTCAACCTTTGCCTATCTTTTTTGACCTGCTTCCTCCCTTCTTCCATTTCTCCCAATGTTCATCCCACTACCAGAGGTGTGCTAAGATAAAGTCTACTTTTATGTGGATTAAAATGTTAAAACTAGCTCAGCCTCGTGGCTCAGTGGTTGTGTTGACCTGTGAATCAGGAGGTCACAATTCAATTCCCTGAGAGGGCGTATGCCTGGGTTGCGGGCTCAAACCATGTGTGAGCGGTGTGCAGGAAGCAACCCATCAATAATTCTCTCTCATCATTGATGTTTCTATCTCTCTCTCCCTCTCCCTTCCGCTCTGAAATCAATTAAAAAAGTTTTTTTTTTAAATGTGTCAAAACTAACAACCAAATAAAGTTTTGAAATAGTTAACAAAATTCATATAATTTATGTCTTGCCAATCCCCTATTAATAAAACTGGTTTCAAAATTAATTTTCTCTCTCACCAAATGGTGTTATTAAATTATTAGCATAACAGTCTGAGAAATAATTTTTAATTTTAACCTTGAGATCTGCTCCCAACTTGGTTCCAAAACGTATGTTTCTGGCACAGTAGGGAGCCTGGCTCATGCTCTCGGTTCCTCCACACAAAACAACTTCAGCAGCTTTATCACAAATTTCCTATTTAAAAACAAACAAAACCCTTTTATTATGACATGAATGCACATTAAAAAGTATGTGCTAAGCAAACTAATATTAAGTCTAATAAGTAACTATCATAGCTTTCAGTGTTTCAAAAGGAAATACTTTCAAAGTAGTTTTAAAGCAAATGCTAAAGTATCCATTCCCAAAGTACATGGGTGGGAAGGGGAGAAGGACAGTCTTCAATCGTTTGTGCACAGGTAACAAATCCTGCCCACTTTCTGGTGAGGAATGGTAATTCCTAACTCAATACAAATCTTTAAAATCAGCAGAGATATTGTCTGGTTTAACTATACAGATTGCCAGCAGATAGTAAAGAATAAACCCTTTAAAAATGCAAAAGCAAGATTTATCCTATTTATTATGGATGAATCTGGAGACCACAGATTTACAGGAACCAAGTTAAACTAGGAGTCTCATACAAAGGGCCCGTTGCATTCTTTCAACTCTTTCCACGATTTGCATTTCTCAGGAAAGAAGCAAATCACAGGCCTCCAAGAGCCTGATGTTTGAAATGATTGCTAGGAAAATCAGGACCACTAATATACATTGTTATAGAACCTTATTCATGACAAAATCGTGTTTTTAATTTTATTTTCTAATAAAAGGGCTGGATCCCAAAGACACTATCCGGGGTTAGGTTTCTGGGGCGTTAAGTGTATTTTGTTGACCAGAAGCTGGGGCATCCCAGGCAGGAAATGGGAGGAGGATGGCGGTGGAGAGGCCGGGGAAGAAAGGGTAGTGAAGGCCTGGCTGGACTGGGGGCTAGCAACCCCCAAATAGAAGCTTTAATATCATAGTGTACTCAGGAAGGGCTGGAAGCAGGTCCCAAAGAGGAAAGGGGAAGGTTTAAAAGAGAAACCAGTGAACATGGCAGGGGGGAGGAGGGAAGCGCAGGAGGGTAATAATAGGGAAGGAGGCAAGGTTCAGGCTCACAAAGGAAAGGTGAATGGGGAGGAGGGTGGGAGGAGCAAGAAGGAGACAGACACAGGGAATGAAGGGAGAGAAGGGAGGAAGGAGGGAGGAAGAGGGGCTGCAGGAGGTTCAAAGGGAGGGAGGGAAAGAAAGCAGGAAAGAGAAGGATGCTAAAATGGGGGGAGGCCAGAAAATAGTTAAATAAAAAGAAGAAACAGAATGTGAGAGTGAGGGAAGTTTAAAAGGAGCTAGCAAGAAAATTAAGTACAGGGAGATTTTTTTAAAAATGTAGTCAGACATCCCCTGAGGGCTCCCAGTTTATGAAAGGGCACAGACTTGGCTGAGGGCCCCTCCCCCCCAAATGCACGAATTTTGTGCACTGGGCCTCTAGTGCTATATAATAAAAGGCTAATATGCAAATTGTCCCCTCCATTGCGAGTTCAACCGGGGGCCCGGGTTAGCCACCCAACCACCCCCAGCCCCTCCCCCTGGCCAGACAGGCTCAATGGGCCCCAATCGGGGTGGGCCAACTGAACCCCACCCGTACACAAATTCGTGCACTGGGCCTCTAGTTATAAAAACCTAGTGTTATATTAAACGGGGCATTTTCTCTAATAATTTTTAACATATTTCAGAGAATTAAATATAATATTGGCCATACCTGACATCCACTCATAACGGACTGGAAACCGGAGCCACAGAGCCTATTCAGAGTGAGAGCTGGGGTCTCTATTGGGACGCCCACCCGCAAGCCAACATGCCTTGCCAAGTACGCAGCATCCGCAGAACTCTGGAACACAGGGAGAAGAAAAAGCACTTCCTCTATAAATCTAGAAATTGAGGATAAAGTATTTTCCAAAGTATATGGAAATGTTGGCAACCTGTCAAAAATTATAAGCTACATGGCTCTAAGGTAGGACACAACACATACAGCTCTAGTATATTTCATATAATACACGTGTTTATGATTTAAATAAAAACAAAGCACAAGAATAATGATGCTGGCAATTCAGATACGGATTCCTTTAAGTAAAAAAGTGCTTCCTTTAAGTAAAAAAGTGAAAGTTCTTGATTTAATAAGGAAAGGAAAAAAATGCATGCTGAAGTTGCTAAGACCTACAGTAAGAACAAATCTATGCATGAAACTGCCTAACTCATAAATTAAACTTTACCATAGGTATGCATGTGTAAGAAAAAGACATAGTGTATGTATTCAAGGTTTGGTACTGTCTGTGGTTCCAGGTATCCACTGAGGGTTTTGGAGCGTATACCCTGGGAATAACATGGAGTAACTGTTCTTTATTTTTATTGAATTCATTGGGATAATGTTAATAAAATTATATAGAGCTTAGGTGTACAATTCTATGATATATCATCTGTACATTGTATTCATCCCAAGTCATGTCTCTTTCATGTTTCTACTCTCCCCTACCTCCTCCCACCTATCCTTTCCCTGTTAATCAACATACTGTTGTCTGTCTATGAAGTTTTTGTTTGTTTTTTACTTAACCTCCTTCTCCCCTCTAACAGCTGTCTGTTTTCTATGTTGATGTGTCTGTTTCTATCAATATTTTGTTTGACAGTTTATTTTGTTAGTGACACCGAGGCTGAGACCTGGTGACTTAAGGAGGGGAGAGATGAACAACTGGTTAGGAGAGTAAGAGGTGCTTCCCAAACTTAAAAATGCATCTGGGACATTTTGTTAAAATGTGGATTCTCAACCCATAGGTCTAGGACTGCATGGAATTCTGCATTTCTAAACATTTCCCCAGTGACGCAATGTGCTGGTCCAAGGGGCATACTTTGAGTAAGAAGGAAAAGAAATAACTTTAAAAACACACAACAATAACATCAGCAGTTACTGTGGAGAAAGCTAAAGCAAATTTGATAAAATGTGAAGAATTGGCCCATCCAGCCCTAACCGGTTTGGCTTAGTGGATAGAGCGTCGGCCTGTGGACTGCAGGGTCCCCGGTTCAATTCTGGTTAAGGGCACATACTTTGGTTGCAGGCTCCCTTCCTGACCTGAGCCCTGATCAGGGCTCGTGCAGGAGGCAACCTATCAATGTGTCTCTCTCACATTGATGTTTCTCTCTGTCTTTCCCTCTCTTTCTCTTTCTCTAAAAACCAATGGAAAAATATCTGGAGGATTAAAAAAAAAAAAAAATGGCCATCCAGGTAAAAAGGCTATGTGGTACTTACTCACTATCCTATTTTTAATTTATTTTTTAATTCTTACTTGTGGATAGTTTTATTGATTTTAGAGAGAGAGGAAGGGCAAAGGAGAGAGAGAGAAACACTGATCCATTGCCTTCTATACTCGCTCCGACTGGGGATCAAACCCTCAACCTGGGTATGTGCCCTGACCAGGAATTGAACCCACAACCCTTTGGTGCACGGGATGATGCTCTAACCAACTAAGCCACATGGGGTTGGGGTGTCCTATTTTTTTCTTTTTTTTAACTTTTTTGCTTGGGTTTGCTATACTCCTTAAGTGGGAAGGAGAGAGAACCCATTATCTTCAAATAAGTCAAGGAAATTAATATATTTAGAAGCAATATATCAAAACATTTTGTTCTATACCTAAAACTAATACGATGTTACTAGTCAATTATATCTCAATACAACTGGAAACACACCCACCCAAAAACCAAGAAGCGATGAAATGTATCCCAAATTAGGTAGATATATCGTTCCCAGAAGATATGCTCCTTTGAGTCATGCCTGTCGTTGCTTCTGGAGTCAAAGGATTACTCAATTTGTAAATACCTTCAACTTTGGACTGATTCGCCATCATGACATGTTCGAGGAATTATTTTTAGAAACTGATGAAGCAACAGGAATGAGGACCATTCTCTGGCCGACTAACCTGCATGACATTGCCCACAATGACACTGTCAATAGTCTCAGGTGGCACTTTGCCTGCCGCCAAGGCAGCCCTGGCAGCAAATTCAGTCAAGTCGGTAGCTGTGAAGTCTTTCAGAAGGCCTCCGTAAGCCCCAAAGGGCGTTCGCTTAGCAGCCACGATGAACACACCTATGGCAACAAGAGAAATCTGTAAGCAATCGCGGGTTAGCCAGTGTCCTTTAGCATGCTTTAAATACCCTCACTGCAAAATAGTATTGCAAAGTTAAGTTTCAATTAGATAACTGAAAACCTTTGCATACACGAAGTCTTCCCCAAACTATCTGAGCACTCGTTTCCACATCTTGTCAAGAAACCATGGACTGCCCCGGCCAGGTGGCTCATATGGCTGGAGTGTCCTTCTATGCACCAAAAGTTGTGGGTTTGATTCCCAGTCAGGGCACATACCAAGTTTCAGGTTTGATCCCCAGCTGGGGCGAGTACAAGAGGCAACCAATTAATGTTTTTCTCTCACATTGATGTTTCTCTTTCTCTTCTTTCCTCTCTAAAAAAAATCACTAAAAACATGTCCTTAGGTGAGGATAAAAAAAATAACATGGAACTTTTAATGATAGATATTGACCTATAGTTGAGACCATTCAAACACTGTACTACTACTGGTATCTAAGTATAGTCCCCGTTTTATGCTAATGATCTCTTTCCATGGGACAAACTAAACCTACACTAAAACAAAAAAACACTTCAGCTTCTCCTTTCATTCCAGTTGAGAAGCTTACAGTCTAAAAGAGGAAAAACATATAACTTAGAAGAGATCCAGTTCTTTACATATATAATATTCAGATATTTATAAAAGGCTTCAAATATTAGTTTGGTGTGTTGTGGAGACAGTAAAATGTACAGTGGCTACCAGAGGTTAGGAAGGGGCAAGGAGAGATGAGTAGGTGAAGTACAAGTGAAACTACTCTTTATTTACTTATTTTTAAAATATATTTTTATTGATTTCAGAGAGGAAGGGAGAGGGAGAAATAGAAACATCAGTGATGAGAGATAATAATTGATCAGCTGCTTCCTGCATACCCCACACTGGAGATTAAGCCCGCAACCGGGCATGTGCCCTGACTAGGATCGAGCCATGGCCTCCTGGTTCATAGGTGGATGCTCAACCACTGAGCCACACTATTATGATACTGTAATGGAAGATACATGTCATTATATACATTTGTCAAAACCCAAGAATTGCATAACACAAAAAGTGAACCTTATTGTAAACTATGGTCTTCAGTTCATAATAGTGTCAGTATTTGCTCATCAACTGTAACAAATGTAGCACATTAATGGTTAGGTGAATGATTCTGGTTCTTCAAGTGACTGAGGCAGATCCTATCATCTGAAGGATACATTCTTGCAGAGATAAGTGGGCTCATTAAGTTGTTTATTGCTTTGGAGAATACAGCTCTTACTAAGCCCTCGCCACATGGCAACAAGGCACCTGTGTTAGCCCAGAGCTTTCCTATAAATCTCCTGTGTTAGCTCCTGGCTTTGGCTTCCAGCCACCTGTGTAAGCTCGAGCTGGTGGGCTATACATAACAAGCCTCGTTTCTTTCCTGGATCTAAAGATCTACCATTTCACTACTAAGACGTGGCTTGTCGATAAGTTACCTTAAACTCGATGTAATTTTGGTGAGGTCTTTTGACCTTGGGAAGTTTTCCCAAAAACTAATGCACGATGTTAATAATAGGAGATACTGGGATGGGAAGAAGGAGGTATATGACCACTGATTTATCAGAAATAATGAAGGCTAATTCATGTGTCTTCATAAATTTTCCTTTCAAGAGTTTCTCCCTGTAATTCATACCTAAGAGAGCATTTTTGTCTGGGGAAGTTCTACTAATGGTGAAGTATGAGACACTAACAAAAGAGTGTATGTGGAAAATAAGAACATAAGCAAGAACTTCCCCTTTAGTTAATTATACCACTTCTGTTTACTTGTGCTTCCAGACTGCAACGGTTATCCTGAGTAAGGCTAACATTGAAATACAATTGTTTTGAATGGGAAAATGGTATCCTGTATAATAAAAGCCTAATATGCTAAGTGTCTGGTCAAACCAATCAAAGTGTCTGGTTAGCCGAGACTGGTTTGGCTCAGTGGATAGAGCATCGGCCTGCGGACTGAAAGGTCCCAGGTTCGATTCCGTCAAGGGCATGTACCTTGGTTGTGGGCACATCCCCAGTAGGAGGTGTGCAAGAGGCAGCTGGTCGATGATCCTCTCTCATCGATGTTTCTAATTCTCTATCCCTCTCTCTTCCTCTCTGTAAAAAATTAATAAAATATATTAAAAAACACACAAACACACACACACAAAAACACAAAGTGTCTGGTTAAACCAATCAAAGCATACATTGCTAATGATATGCTAAGGCTGCTCAACTACCCACTATAATGTGCACTGACAACCAGGGGCAGATGCTCCAACTGGTAGGTGAGCTTGCTGCTGGGGTCCAGCCAATTGGGACAGAGAGAGATGGGCCAGGCAGGCCTTGGAGCCCTCCCTCAGTACCTCCCTGGCTGGCCAACTTCCCACATCCCTCCCCAGCCCCGATTGTGCATTGGTGGGAGTCCCTCAGCCTGGCCTGAGCCCTCTCGAAATCTGGCACCCCTCGGGAGATGTCAGAGAGCCAGTTTCAGCCCGATGGCAGAACAACCAGTCGCTATGACACACACTGACCACGGGGGGCAGACACTCAATGCAGAAGCTGCCCCTGGTGGTCAGTGTGCTTCCATGGGGAGAGTGCTGCTCAGCCAGAAGCGGGGCTCATGGTTGGCGAGTCTTCCCCATCTCCGTGGCAGCATTAAGGATATCTGGCTGACAACTTAGGCCTGCTCCCGACAGGCCTAAGCTGCCAGTGGGACATCCCCTGAGGGCTGATGGACTGAGAGAGGGCACAGGCTGGGCTGGGCTGAATTTCATGCACTGGGCCTGTAGTTAAATATATTTTTAAATTATAATTTGGGATGTGTAGGTATAAAGACTAGACAATTTACAGTATTTTTCCTTATAATATCATAAACTGGGCAGCATGTCAATAATTATTTGATCTGATGCTAATTTTATATAGCTGTTAAAAGGTTTAAAATGTAACAGACTTTAACACCAAGCTACAATCTTGTTTATTTTTAAAGGCCCTGAAAATTCAGAAGCTAGCTATTTCTCAAAACTGAAAGACAGTGAAAAGACATTACTCTAGAGGTCAGAGAGTCAGAAACAAGGTGGTCGAAGTGACTGGAGAGAAAAAAACGTGACAAGAGAAACAGAAATTCTGCAGCTTTTTAAAAAAAAAAAAAATTTTTTTTTTATCACATTGTTAGATAAACACTGACTTGTCATTAAGCAACTGCAGACAGCAACTAAGACAAACGGAGAAAAACTGCTACTTACTGCATCCATTTCAGTTTCAGGATTAAAGTCATTTGGCAGCACTGCCTGACTACCTTGCTACACAAATAACCCAACAAAGTTACTGAACAGGAATGGATTCTTATTGACAGAAACCTGATAAATGAATGATAATCTTTACCAACGCCTATCATGCTCACACTCAACTGTGTCCTTTTCCCTACAATAATCAGTCACATGGTCTCTCTTATCCACTAGTCCTCCAAGCACCCCGAGAGAAGTGCACATCTATGATGTATTCTAACTAGCCAATAGCAATTGGTACGTGAACCTTAACACGTTAAGCACCCAGCCTGCATTGTCTTCCAGATGGAAAGTATAGAGTCAGACACTAGTGACTGACATGGCGGATAACGTGGACACAGCCACTAATTATCTGTCATTGTAGACAAGCTATTTTACCTTTCTGGAATCAATGTCTTCATCTGTAAAACAGGGAAATGGGTGAAACTCTGATCACTAGCTCTAATACTGTAGTACTCGATCACAAACTTAACACATTTTATATACTTCCTTAATACAGGTGTTGATGTAATTCTTTTCCCCTAATGGGTTCACAATTTTCATCAAACTTCAGAAGAGTCTGTATTATACAAAAAGGATAAGAAACCACATATACAATGCTAAACACAAATCATAAAAAGATTTTCTTTTTGAAATGATGCTCATTATGATGCATTTTTAAGTGAATTGGGTTTTTTTTTAACACCTTGAGAAAAACAAACATGTGCTGTTTTATTAACTAAATGTAGTAAATTCAGAACTGGGAAGAGCACTGGCAAGTAAAACCCAATTGAAGGAAATAGAATGACACTACGTGTTGCCTTGGGATACCTATTTTTCATGAACAGTTCACAAGCCATTTCCGCTCTTCTGAGCTCCAAATCCCCTTATCCAACTGCCTATCCCACATCTCCACTTGAGTGCCAAGTTTCCTCTTTCCAAATCAATTCTCCAGCTTTCCTCACTGGGTAAGTGCTACCATCATCAACAAAAAACTTCAAACCGGAAACCTAAAGTCACTGCTGTCATGTCCTCATTGACCGGCCATCCATCACCAAGTTCTATCTAATCCATCTCCAAGTCTAACAGTCATCCCTCCCTCCCCCACCCCCCAACTCCTTTGCCCTCCAGCTAGGGTCCAAACCATCATTTGTTGTAGCCTGGATCTCTGGCTAAGATTCTTTTACTAGTATTATTGTTGTAGTTTTGTTAATCCTCACTTGAGGGTATTTTTCTCATTTTTTAAATTGTGGAGAGAGAAGAGAAACTTCCATATGAGAGACAGGCAGAGCCGCCCACATCTGCCCCTATCAGTGCCCAAGTAAGTGCCCTAAACCAGGAATTGAACCGGAGACCCTTCCGTGTCCAGGCCAGCTCTCTAATCACCAAGACACACCGACCAGGGCTCCAATAGATTCTTAAATGTTCTTAAATTCTGCTGGTTGCTACACAGACAGTTTTATAACCCTGACAACATCTGGGCAGAATGGAAATCAGGTCCTGTCATCCCCCTACTTGAAAGGTTTTCTCTTGCTGTCTACTAAATTCAGAATAAAACCCCACACCTCCAGGCCTCACAGAGCCTACAGGGCTCTGACCACAAAAATGTGGGTTCTTAGGTCCTGCCCAGCGTTTTCCTGTGGCCTGGATATAAAATGTTCTTTAAAGCACAAACGTCCATATCCTTAACACTAAAATCCCATCGGTTGTGAGCATTGGTTAGCAAAGAGAACGGACATCACATTTTTAAGAAGCTGATAACCCTAGAATGCATGTATTTAGTGACTGCACTTTCTCGGAGACACTCAAGGGAAGGTTCTCCAACAGAACGCCAGCAAGCATTTTTCGGGAGCAGGTCCCTCGGGCAGAAATTCCCGGGCGACTCTGGGAGAACTCCCCGCAGGCCCTGCCCTCCCCACCCCCATCCCTCCAATCGCAGGCAGCCTCGCTCCTCTATGCAGCGCCCCCGCGTCCCACGGTGCCTCGGGTGTGTGGCGCCGCGGGTTCCCAACAGCTGAACTTGAACGTGGTGGGTCACCACTGCACGAGGGAGGGCACAGCCTCCAAGGTCAGGAGCCCGTGAACCGTGGTCTCCACGCTCCCACGCCGATTGCACGGGAGTCTCAGTCGCTCTAGGAGGCTTACAAAAAAGCGCTTTCTCTTGAACCCGAACCATCCTTTGAGGTGGGGGGGGGGGGGGAAGGCACACACTGCTGTTTCTTTTAGTCCCCTTTATTGGTGTGAAGACGAAAGCTGTAAACCCAGGACCCCCGACTCCCCGCCGAGAACGGACGCGAACCCTGGCCTGAGGAGGGCAAGCCCGCCAGCAGGCGAGGAGAGCGGGGCGCAGCTCACCTCGGAGAAGGGCCATGGCGGCGGCGGGAGAGCTACAGCGCAGGGGTTCTCCTCGGACGACGCGAAGGGGCCGCTGTCAGCACCGACCTTAAGGGCGGGGGGCGGGGCCTACTAGGTCACGCCCACCTAGGGCCCGCCCCCGCCCTTTCCCCTACTTCCGAGCCCAGGCCCGCCCCGTCCGCTGAGCGCCCCTACCGGCGCCATCCCCTGAGGGGCCAATCACCCTGGGGAGGCGGGCCTTGCGAGTGGGTTTTTGTTGTTGTTTTTTTTTTTTTGCCTCAAATCACTGGCTTACAAGACTGTACTTGCGCCGAAACCGGTTTGGCTCAATGGCTAGAGCATCGGCTTGGGGACTGAAGGGTCCAGGGTTCGGTTCCGGTCAAGGGCATGTACCAGGGGGGTGTGCAAGAGGCATCTGATTGATGACTCTCTCTCATGGATGTTTCTAACTCTATCCCTTCCTCTCTGTACAATATATTAAAAAAAAAAAAAAAAAAAAAAAGACTGTACCTGTTTCCAACTCATGGTTTGATTGCCCTGTCCATCCAACCCTGGCCTCTAGCCGTCTCCCCCGGCCGCGCCCCGCCCCCGTAGGTAACTAAGCTTCCCCTACTTTCCGTCAACGAATTTCCTTAAACCTCGAGTTGGACGCCCGGCCAGGAGTGGCACGGGTTTGCGGGAAGTGGGGGTCCAGGTGGGCGGGACCGGACGTTGTGTGGGCGGAGCCTGGAGGACGGCACGGGGATTGGTCGAGTCGCCCCGGGAGGCGGGCTTTTGCGTAGAGCTTGGGCTGCGGCGGAGGCGGCTAGGCCAGCGGTGCTAGGCCAGCGGTGGGTGGCTCGGTCAGGTCGCAGAGTGGGAGTGGGGGGTAGGGGGGGTGTTGTTGGGGCGCTTCAGTGAGGGTCGTAGGTCAGGGGGGTCCCCGGGTCCCCATTGCAGCCCCCGATGAGCCTGCAGTATTTTCCTTATATGATTGGGCCCCACGGCTGGCGGCGACGCTAGCCCGGAGCCTAAGAGGATTATAACGGGTCTGGCGAAGTGGGGCCGGGGAACCGGGGCCTGGGGCGGAGAGAGAAGCCGTAGGTTCGGCTAGAGATGAGGGAGGTTGAGGGAGGCCTCTTCCGCTGTGGCTGTTAGCCCGGGTCGATGATGAGGAGACCACTGCGCAATCTGAGTTCTGGGAACCAGATGATGGAGTGCGTTGTGACTGAGACCGGGCGAGCAGGCGGCGAGCCGAGCCGAGATGCGGTAGATCCGCAGCTTCGGGGCAGGAGGCGGGCCAGGCTCCTCTGGGCTCGGTGGGTGTGGGTGGCCAGGGTTGGCAGGAGGCCTGGAGGTGTTCTGGGAGCTGGTAGGGAGTGTCCGCTCCAGTACCCTGTTTTGTTTACAACGTCTTGGTGGCTCTCTCACGTTGTTTTCTGATTCCATTTTTTTTTTCATTGCAAAAACTTTTAAAAAATATATTTTATTGATTTTTTATAGAGAGGAAGGAAGAGGGATAGAGAGTTAGAAATATTAATGAGAGAGAAACATCAGTCAGCTGCCTCCTGCACACCCCCCACCAGGGATGTGACCACAACCAAGATACATGCCTTTGACTGGAATCCTTGACCGGGAGGAACCCTTGAGTTCAAAGGCGAATGTTCTATCCACTGAGCCAAACCGGCCAGGGCTAATTGTAAAAACTTTTGAACATACAGAAGATCCACCATCTATAGTCTATAATTGGTAACATTTTATCATACTTGCTGTATCACATCCGTCCATCTGTTTCCCCCCCCCCCCTTTTTTTAAAATGCAGAACTTAGTACAATTCACCCCACGTATTAGAGGTCAATATTTACAGTTCCTTTAAAGTCAGAATTCTCATGCAATCAAATTGGATGAATTTCAAAAATGTATACACTCTTCTAACTCAAACCACTCTGGGCAATCAAAATATAATTAGGACATGTCCATCATCCAGAAAAGTGCTCAGCCATTGTTCCCTTTTTCTCACCATCCATTGTAATTTGACCCTCTGCTTTACTCCTTTTTCCTTTCTGTTGCTTTAAGTGAACCCTGAACTTTGGCAGGCAACTCAGTACACATTTTAAAAAATATTTATGCTCCTTTTTCATAGTCCATGGAATTTGGACTTGGAGTTGATCAAAGCTTAACACACACTTGATGGTGGGCTTTGTTCCCCCCCACCCCCCCGCATCTCCTGGATGATGAGCAGGGAATAATAATAAAAATGAAAGCTGCCATTTTATACACTGTGTGCCTAGCAATTGTACCAGGCGCTTACATACACTATGTATAATTTGCATACCCAGGTAGTATAATAATTACTCTATAAAATAGAATAACATACAGTTCTTCCACATCAGAGAAATCTGAATTGAGATGCATTCTGCAGCCCCATGAGATAGGGCATTTTCCTTTCTCATTTTATAAGTCAAGAAGCATAGGCCCAGAGAAACCAAAGGACTTCTGAAGATTCAAATCTAGAAAATTGCTGAATTAGAATTTTGAGCCCTCAGTTCTCAAAAGCCCAAGGCTCATGTTGTGTCCAGGGTTTCCAGGATGTGGAATATAGGAGCAGGGTAGAAAAAAACAACTATCATTAGCTAGAAGTTATAGAAAACAGGAAATGAGGGAGAAATAAAGTATTTGGAAAGAAATCTGGCTAAGGATAACTTTCTATGTCAATGTATGGTGGTTTAGTTTCAATTTCACTATCTTTTTTTCTAAATAATGGGGTTAAGTCAATTTTATCTTTTAAATGTAACTTACACATGTGTAACAAATATTTCTTATTATGAATGACAGTGAATGCTCACTTACTAGGAAAAAAGTAGATAAAAGCATCTTTACCTGCTGGTGCTTTTGAGAAATGTTCATTAGAATTAGATGAAGAGAAGTAAGATGCTTGGATAATGATGCCATTTGAGAAGTGATTTTTGTGATCCATTAAAACAACTTATCCATGAGTGAACCTACATTAAGTTTCATGTTCAAGGCAAAGCACTGGGAACAGTTTTTAAAACCATCTCCATTGTACTTTAACTAATTTTGAATAGGTAACAAGAATACAAATAATTGACCAGGAAATCAAAACAGCTCATATGAAAGATTGACATTGTGGTGAGTTTCTAAATGTTAAATACAGTATGCACTGCAAAAATGAGTCAAATGTATTTACCTATTGAAAAAGACTAACCGGCTAAACAGTACTTCCCCAGACCTGAATAGAATTGTCTGCTGCCAGATAGCTCAGGGCATTTTATTGCCTCCTGTTGGCCAAACACCTGAACAGCTGCACACTATTCCCCAAACTGACAATGTTTCTGTAACCCTACCCTTTGAAGTGTATTATCTCCAACTTGCCTTAGGACAAATTGTGTTGAATAAAAACAGGGTCCTGAGTCAAGGAGAAGGAGTCTTTAGCTCCTTCAGCTGAAGATCCTCTGACCCCTCAATGCCTTTCAAAATTATCTTTAGTCTCCGAACTCTTTAACCATCTATGCGCAGTCCCTTTCTCCAGAATGCTGAACCCTTGGTAAGGCTGGGAAAAGAACCCCGGCATAGCTAGCTCTCTCAGTCTTGAAAATATGGGCTGTGTAGGAGTGACCTCTGTGTAAACTGTGTACCCCGTGGTCTTGGCAGGGCAGTTTGAGCCAGCGAGCACTCCAGGCTGGCATGGCTAGTTGTGTGTTGCAACACCCTGTTGGCTCTGCTTTATCCTTTTGGGCTCCGGGCCAATGTGGGCTCCAGGCAGTTTGGCTGGGAAAGCATTGCTGCAAACTTGCAGGTAGGCCAGAGAATGGGAATAGAGCCACACCCATCCTACATTAGTGTTTACTGGCACCTCCAATCCTGGAGAGCCCCCCCAGATTTCAAAGAGCTCTCATGATTTCCTCATCTTCTCCATTCACTTTGTTTGTTGTGCAGAAGCTGCTCAATGAGCCTTTAGTTGTCTCAGGAGGAAATGCTATATGTGCATAGTGGTATATTTTAGTGTGCTCTTACGGGGGCGAGTCCACGATCCTTCTGTGCTGCTACCATCTTGAACTTCCTCACATGTTGCTCTATCTCTCCTGTTTCACTGGTTAGAATTGAGGTGTATGCTCCTGCCATAGCTGCAGACATAGTTTTCCTGCTGAGATCTTTTTAAAAATTTTTTTCAGTTTCAGCAGACATACAATATTATATTGGTTTCAGATATATAACCCAATGACTAGACATTAACTTACGAAGTGATCACCCCAATAAATCTAGTACCCATCTGACACCATACATAGTCATTGACTATATTAGTATTTCCTATGTTGAACTTGATCTCCCGAGACTGTTCTGTAACTAGCAATTTGATACTTCTTAATCTCTTCACCTTCTTAACCCATCCTCCCAAGTCCTTTCTTTTGGCAACCGTCAGCATGTTCTCTGTATCTATGAGTGTTTCTGGTCTGCTTGTTTTTTTATTTTGTTTAGATTTCACAAGTGAAATCAGATGTGATTTCTCTGTTTGACCTATTTCACTCAGCACAATACCCTTTAGGTACATCCATGTTGCCAATGGAAAGATTTCATTATTTGTTTTTCACTTATCTATATATACAAAAAGCTAATATGCAAAGTGTCCCCTCAGGAGTTGAACCGAGAGACTGGGAGTTTGACTGGGATTCAGGGAGTTCAATCACTCGCTATGATGTGCGCTGACAACCAATGGGCAGTGCAGAATGAAGACCCCCTCTGGCAGCCGGGGAAAGGAGGCCCCAGCAAGCAGCTGGAAGGCCTCGATTGGCCCTGATAACCAGCCAGACCCAGGGACTCTACCCATGCATGAATTCCATGCACCGGGCCTCAGCATTTTATAAACTTTTATACAGAACTTGTAAATATTTTCCTAGATTTTTTTAATGTCATCTTTACCAGAAACAAAGTTATACATATGACTGAGTCTTTTCTTACACCAAAAACTGCTTTGTTTGAATTCTTTACCTTTAAAGTAATTTCTCAATAAGTCTTGTT